ATTTTTTATAAATATTAAGCAAATAAAAAGAAGTTTTAAATAGTATATAATCTTAGTTTTTATTTAAAAAAAAAAAAAAATTTATATTTTAAAAAAATAGATCAAATATGAATTTATAAAATTTAAGCAGACAAATTTGCCTGCTAAAACTGGATGGTTTAAGGGATACCAACGATCGATTTGCAATTATTACATTTTCCTTTATCTAATTTGTTCATTTCCACAAACAAATTTAATTCTCCGGGATCAAATAGATGATACTGTTTGTCATTTTTAATTTCAATTCCTCTTTTATAACAATAACAATATTCAGGGTTATATCTCTCATTATCTTCTTCAGCAACTGTCATATCATTATTGAATTTGTTATTCACTAGTTTGTCCAAATTGCTACCTTTAGCAGAGTTCAAATATTGTTTGAATACTTTATGTTCGCTCACTTTATCTTTGCTTCTATGTTTATAACAATATCCAAAGTTATGTCGTCCATCTGAATTGCTACTCTCAATAGGGTTTAAATACCGTTTAAATGTTTTTTGTCTGTTTTCAATAGCCCTTTCATTACTAATTTCAATTTTCTCCTTCTTAATAATTCGTTCTACGAATTTAGACAGGTTTGGAAGTTTTCGGCATTTATTTTTCATTATTGTAGTGTTATTTAAACAACTCCATTTTTGCTGATTATTCAATTTTTTGATTTTATTCCAGGGTCGAACGTTTCATCAGAGCATGTCATTTCAGAAAACTCTTGCCACTTATCAATTTGATAATGAATGAATGCTATATGCTCATCTTTTTTGACTCCAATGCCATGTTGATAATAGTGTCCAAAATGATATATTTCATTAGTACTTCTCATTTCTGGTGATTTTTAATAATAAATTAATGCTTTATAGCCACCTTTTTCTTCATATTTTTCAACTCTGTTCCTATTTTTATAGTAAGAGCTAAGAGTATTCGTTCCATTAATATGATTCATTTCATCAAGATAACTATAAAATTTTTGATGGTACGTAGTTGTTTCATGTTCTTCTTTTTCATTCTCAGACCAATAACTGGTTTGGACCATTTCTGCAGAATTATTCATCTTTGATGATATTTGTTGGCTGATGAATACATTATATTCGTCTTTTTCAGTTATGATTCTATGTTAATAACTATATCTGAGGTTGTTAGTTGCATCAGCTTGTTTTGTCTCTGCTGATTTTTGATAACTGGTGAATGCTTATTTTCATTTTTTTTTGCTCCCTCAAGATTTTCATAATGATCGGCTTCATTGTCACTTTCATCATTGTATCCGAAACCTTCTAACCAGGCTAGGTAAGTTTCATATCCTTCATCCATTTCTGCTCTATTTTCATATTCGTAACTAATATCATATGTTCTGTCAAAATTATTTATCTTGATGATAAGTAAATGCTTTATCTTCGCTCCTTTTGTTTTTAATTCTATTTTCATAAAAAAATATCTGCCATTATACATTCTATTATCAGATTCCATTTCAGCAGGTTCTTGATAATGGATGAATGCCTTATACATATCCTTTTTGTTCTCAATTCTATTTTGATGGCAGTGTCTGCTATTATACAATCCATCCATATTACCAATATTAGCTAACTTTTGATAATATGTGAGTTTATTGTCTGTTCCATTCTTATAATCGTATATAAGGTTGCTAGCTTTATTTGGAGTTGATGAAAGTCTAATATTTGGAGATAGATAAATAATCGGTTTTACTTCTATTTCTTCTTTGTCACTTGTGAAATTTTCTAGAATTTCCAATATCAATTCCAGGGCTTGCGGGAGTTGCGTACGATTGATTGGCTAACTTTCAAAAACTTCATAAACTATATCTTGAACTTCATTAAATTCTTCCGGGGTAAGTGTTTTCAGAAGCCTGTTGTATTTAATTTCTAATTGTTATATGCATTTATCTTGATAACTGCCTTTGCTTGATTCAGGGTTTCGGATTTTTCTTTCTTCATACTGAGTTTTCTTTGTTCTAGCCTTGATATGTCTTGATTTTTATTTGGATGTTTCTTGGTAAATTTGGTAGACTTCGTATATATATATTTTTTTTTTTGATAAAAAAAAAATTTTGTCGTAGATTTTTTTTTTTTTTTTCAAGCACTTGTGATTTATGTATATATTGATTTCTTGATTATGATGATGTGTTTGAATACTAATATTTCTAGACGATTATTAATCCAAAGTTTATGTGTCAATCCCTACGCATAAAGTTTGTAACTTGGACAATTTTCTAACTTATGATGTATATGTTCTATTACTCTATTGTTTGAATGTCAATCTTTATGACCGTCTTCATTACTATAACTATATATTTTTGCGTTTATTTGTAAATCCTTGTAACTTATTCTTCGTTACTTTTATTCCAATTACTGTTTATTCATCAATCATTTTGACTATATCTATTACACTAACTCTTAAGTCTTTTCCACAAATTACTGCACTTTGTTCTAAAAAAAAAAAAAATTTTTTTTTTCTTTTTTTTTTTTTTAAGTGCTGTCCCTAAAAATAAAAAAATTAAAAAATCAGTAAAGTGACTTTGCTTCAATTTTTTCGTTTATACTTCGTATTTGTTTTTCTTTGCTTTGTGTTGAAGCCATATTCCGTCAGAGAAGTATAAAAATGATATTCTTGTTCTTAAGACTATTCTCTAATTGCTTCTAATTTATCCACTTTAATTTTGACTTTGACATTTTTCTTAGGTCTTTACTTTGACCTTCCTTTATACTTTGACTTTGGTTTTCCTTTGTCTTTCTTTTCTTAGACTTGACTTTAACTTCGTCATTCCTTTTAACTTTCAATAGTTGTAGCCGTTAGTCTTTACTTTCAATAGTCTTATATCCGGTAGTTTCTTTTTTTTCAATAGTCTTATAGCCATTAGTCTTTACTTTCAATAAACTTATAGCTATTAGTCTTTTTTTTTTTTTTTTAATTACTATATGCGTTTTGATTTTCCAAAATCGTTATAGTACTTCGGACTCAGTATATCGGTCCAGATGACTTAACTTTTCAGATAGGTGTTATACGGATCTCATAGTAATCCACCAAATGTAATAACTAAAAAAAATACCACCCTCAAAAGAGACATGGATTTGGCCGGTAAATGGTTTATTAATCAATTGAGATATCCTAATCTATCTTTTATATCAGAATAAATGCTATATTTATATACTATTTACCTATATGCTAAATATACTAAATATACCATATATACTAAATATACTATATATGCTGAATGTGCTAAATGTTTCAAATATCCCAAATATTCCAAATATCCCAAATATTCCAAATATCCCAAATATCCCAAATATCCCAAATATTCCAAATCTACTAAATCTGATACTTCTATCAGGCACAAAACCTAAACAAATATACAATCGATCGCTCAATTTGGTTATACTATACTGATGATCGATTTGCAATCATTACAACAGATAAATTTATCCCTTAAATTGTAACACAGGCAAATTTGCCTGCGAAGATTTTTACTAATTTTTTTAATATTTAAATTTTT